CCAAGACGCGCCATTAGCAACAAAAAATAATAATAATAATAATAATAAATACAAAAAAGAGAGACAGAGGGAGAGAGAGGAATAAGCAACTCCAGGGCATCCCTGATGCATACATGTGCAGTACATGCGTACAGTATAGGTGCTGGAGCTATATACTGTACACGTATGCGTGCGGGGCATCATTCAGGGGCACAGCATGATGCGAGGCTGCGATGACGTGACGCAGGCATCTGATGCCTCGGGTGACTGGGTGTAAATCCCCGAGCACCACCACACCACCAGCTTTTCGTGCTGCGAATCAATCTCGCAAAATAACACTCGCGTGTGCTGCTTGCTTGCTTGTCTTATTGCAAAAGCAGCGGCAGAACCAGCAAAAAAAAAAAACTAAATAGATATACACAGGGATGAGGATTATCATGTTCCGACTTCCTGCTGCTGCTGCTGCTGGCGGTTTAACCCGACACGTTGTCCCCCAAATATAATCCCCACCCTAATATATAGACCCCCCCTCCCCCCGATGAATTACCGTCAACCGCCAATGATTTATTAAACGCTGTGTGATTTTCCCCTTGCTGATGATGCGCGCTGGTTGACTTCCTAAACTGTCATGTCCGCGCCGTATATACCGGATATTGTACCTTGAACGCGCTGTGTCATAACGTGGCGTTGCAAAGTTTCTGCTTCAAAAAAAAAAAAAGGAAAGAGGAAAAGCAAGCAAGAACGCTGAAAAATTTTTGGTTCGAAATGCTTCCGAAGCTAAAATGAATTGTCAAGGGGAGGAGACGGATTTTTGAAGTGCAATCATGGTACAATATTTTATCAAATGAACCAGCTGAGTTTGTTGGTCTGCCAATCATTGGACAAATACCTTGCAATTACATTGTCATTAGATGGGAAGTGTTTTACCCTGAAATTATGCCTAATACTGATGAGAATAAGCTGACAAGTTTGAATTTCTGATTGTTTCAAGAAATGTCTCAATAATGATAGGATAACACCGACTAAAATATTGAAAATTAAGGCAAAGATGCCAACCCAATTTTTTCATACTGAAAATTCTGGCGCAGCCTGTGATTGAAAGCCACCGCAGCAAAATCAAATACAAAGTAAAATTTTGAGAAGCGACACAGTTATTCCTCCAAGAGTTTTAAAAATACTGGGCAAATGAATTGTATACCTCTTTTCCATTTCTTATTGCACCCTTCTAATTTAAAATAGAATAAAAACAATATCCACCCAGTTATTTTAAAACATTGATCCATTCACAAATCTTCAGCTGCTTTCACGTAATGGGCCTGACCATTCCTCAAAAACACTAAATAAATAAGGTAACGGTAGATTTTTGCTAACAAATGTAATCATTTTCTAGCTCATCCTACTTTAAATTGTAAAAATCAAGTGTCATATGCAGTAAATACATTTCTGAAATAATGAGTTTGGTCACCAGACAGTGAAGCAGTCTCTGTCTCTGAAAACGATTTTTCAGTACTTTTTCTATACACAGCCTTCAAAAGAAACAAAGCATAAATGAAAATGTTTTCACAGCTGAAGCATAGCAATGTTCAAAGGAAAATTTTTTGCAGCGTAACAGCAATTAAGCAAGGAAAAAATATTTAATTTGAATTCCCGACCTGCTGAAATGCTGATAATAAGATACAGTAGTTTTTTTTTTATTAAAAAAATCAGTTATAGGATATATCTTCCGCATTTACTATTTACAAACGTAACTTTTTTTGGCATCATAAATCTTAGTTTGAATGTATATGATATTCACAAATAGTTCGCGGGATTTGGTACACTTTTAAGTTCCGTACACAGTACAGTATAGTACAGTACTGTATACTGTAATTGAAAACGTGATCTGAACAGAATCCTCAAAGCCCAACTACATCTGAAAATTATAGCTCTCATTATACTGCATGGTGGGAAACCCGGGCGTTGGACTTGGAAATTCATAATCTCATCCCTTCGGCATTGGATTACGAGCTGCATTTTATTCCGCATGAACTGCTCCGTACGTATCTAGTACTGCTGATAGTGCTGAAATTCGTTATTCTGCTCTGGAAAAACTAGGAAAGCGTCACCCAATGTTGAAGCGCGCGTGGATCCGTTCAAGAAGCCCACCGCGAAAGCATGACGTCGCGGCGACGAGCTACCTCCTTCTCCTTCCCTTCCTGCCAACGAGTCTGTGCCGATCCCGGGAGGGAAGTTCCGCGGCGGACGGACTCGTCCGCCGCGATGAGTATTTGCTCCGTCGTTTCTTCCGCGGGAAGGAATATTTTCGACATTATATCCATCATTTAGTCAATTAAAATGCGTGGGCACATTTTGTGCTATCAACTATGCAAAGCCATGAAAAAATACATTTCGGGGGAATTAGGTGTTATTTTTCCGCGGAAGTAAATGCCCTCCCAGAAATTGTAGCGTAACTTGTGAACATTCTGCGGAAGGAACCATTGCGTATGTGTTCACCGCGGGGAAGACTCCGCACCGCGGAATTTCCTTCCTCAGATGTGGACTACTCTCCCAGCCAACGTCCGGCTCTGTTCAGTTCGCGTCCTGCTTCTGATGAAAGCACATCGGTGTGGATGTCGAGTGCTTTGTGTCTAGCGTCGCGAATACTGGGTTAACTTACTCAACGCGTTCCAACCTCGGTTGCGGTTCCTTGCTTTTATTTTTAAAGCTTGTGTCATTACGCCCTCATTACGTCCTGATTATGTGTCCAATTGTGAAGACGTGTGATGGAAGCATCAGGAATGTCTTGACTTTGATCTTATACCGACTTATGCATGGTCGAAAGTGTTCGGAATCCCTAGCTCTGCAATTGCTTCGTCTGTATTCAGAATGATTCGGTGAATATCGAATTTAACATGAAATTGCATGTATCTCTCTCGATTAATCTTGTCAAAGGAAGTTTCCTTACGGTGTTGTGTTTTTCGACGATCTCCGTGTATAGATACGTCTTGTAACTTGGATGTATTGTACTCGATCTTTTGTTTGAATCTGTGTTTAAATGGTGAAAGTTTTGAGTGTTGCCGTTTAATTTTTGTGTGTTTCATCTTTTGGTAAGTATTGGTGAAACAATCACGTCATTCTCTTCTCCAAGAATCCACCGGTGAGTTTCTTGGGAACGGAGTTCCGCGGTGCGATTGGACTCTGAATTATGTAGCGTTAAACACAGATGTCTTCGTAGCATTCCTCTTGCCTTTTATGTTTCCCTGGCTCACTGGAATCATATTTGTGAATGATGTGAGTTTAGGTGTGCGTGGGGTGAGGATTAGGTATCTACGTTGAGAATTTTGTTGTTTCTGTGACGGGAAATGGTTGATTGTGGGATTAAGCGCTCTGTTTCCAGGACGTTAGGGATTTGAACTTGATGCCTGTTATATTTTCATGCCCTAGAGTAGTGCTGCCCAGCTCAGGTGTGGCCCAGGGCCACATAAACGCATTTTTTGTGGGGATCGGCCATATTACAGAAGTGGGGAGTTTCATTGTGACTTTCCGGGCCATATAGTGAACGAATTTTAGTATCTCTCAAGTAACTGGTACAAAATAATGCTACAATGCAGAAACTCAAGAAACCCAGCAAAATATGTAATTCATGGTTGAATATCTTATAATTAAATTCTCATAATGAATAGAGGCGGTTGCAATTTTTGGGTTGTAAATCCGTTCTTAACTTTAAGGGGGTTTCTTATTAAGCGAATGAGGACTGAGTACGTACTTTCCTTTTTGTCACGTGCTATTCCTCTACCAATTTCTCAGTTGAAAATCCCGGGAATTCATCATAAATTATTCAAAAGATTTGTTGGGAATACGTTCGTAGAAAATTTATTTCCTAAAGGCTCAAAATTTTCTCCGTTGAAGGAAAAGTTGTATGTATAATTCAGTTGAATGCATTCATTTCAATCTTACAAATTGCTTTAAAGAATTTTTGTTTGGTGGAGCAATAATTTTAAAATTTTCAATTTCATGTTTTGATGCATTCTGAATGGAAACTGCTGCCACCTTTAACATTGTTTGGAAGGGGCGGTGGGACGGAAGGAAGAGTCTTTATAATCCTGATTGGGCCTACAGGAAGTATGTGGATAGACTGATGGACAGGTGGACTGGCAAGGGACCAGAACACATTTTGCTGCTGCCGACATTTTGTTGTAGAGAACCCCTATAATGTAGAAAGAGAACACTATTGAACCAAAAAAAAAATTATACAGAGGAAAAAGTTTTGTAGACAAGATTGTTGTAGCAAGTCCAGCTGTATAATTAAAGTTTTGGTCCATTGTTCACTTTCTATTTACAGCATACAAAGACGAAAAGTCGACCACCTTTCAGACTCTAGATGGTTGAATGCCGTACAAAGTAGTACCATTTGGGCTGAATAGCAACACAGCCCTTTATCAGAGAGCTATTAATGTCATCCTTTAGGAGCATAAATGTCTGCACTGCTCAACATATACCCCGGTGAGCAAGAAGTAGTCTGTTTTCACTGCAAAATGTATCCAAATTTGAAATCGTGTCCTGAAAGCATCCGAGCAAGTGTTGTCCACATTTATCCCAAAATTAGTCCTCGTGCATCCGCGCAGAGCTCCAACCCTCCTGTGCAATTCTTTGGATGTGTGCAGACTTGTACAATATAGTCTGTACACACAGGTTGGACTTGTGAGGACTCAAGCAGGAAAACAAATTCACCTTAATTATCCCAAGCCTATGATCTGTGCTTGGGACACAGGAGCAGGGACAGCTATGTATTTCATTGGGCTCATGCAGGCTCAGCCAGCATGATAACAAGTCTGTCCTTGTACTCCACTCCATTCATAATTTCGGCATTATTGCTATGCATGGAAATGAACTGAGAGATGTATTTCTGTTTGTTGTTGTTGTTGCAGGTTTGAATTGTGTGGACCAGCGTGACAATGGCATGGTGAATAAGAGAGTGAGTGAGATCGGAGTGAATTTGTGACAGAGTTTTTCGGTTTTTTTGCTCGTGTTGACCGTCGACAATGAGTGCCGAGAGCCGGTTCATGGTGTCGAAAGCGCAGAACTCCACGATGGAGACGACAGGCACGTCGTACGGGTCGACTGACCCCGAGGCCGGCGAGCCCATGAACCAGACCTCACCGACCAGTGACAAGATCCCCGACCAGAACTACTCCCACGACCTGTACCTCTACACCGACGACATCACGGAGCGGCCCAAGGTGTCCAGCATGCTCAAGTCCATGGTCAACTACTCGGCCACCATTTCCGCGGCACCCGCGGACCCGGACGCGAAAACAACCAAGCCGAGGAACGCGCAAATGGGCACTTTGGTCGGTGTCTACTTGCCGTGTTTGCAGAACATCTTCGGCGTCCTGCTGTTCATCCGCATGTCGTGGATCGTGGGCACAGCAGGCATCGTGCAGGGCTTCCTGGTCGTGTTCATGTGCTGCTGCACCACGTTCCTCACTAGTATTTCCATGAGTGCTGTGGCGACCAACGGTGTCATTCCTGCTGGTGGCAGTTATTACATGATCTCCAGGGCCCTGGGGCCCGAGTTTGGGGGCGCTGTGGGCATCCTCTTCTATCTGGGAACCACAGTGGCGGGTTCCATGTACATTATTGGTGAGTGGCGTGGTTTTGTTTGATTATTATTATTTTTTGGAAGAGTCGGAAGTCGAGGGAATTAATGCTGTTGAATTAAAGGTATTCTTACTTGAAGATTTATGGTACACAGTGCTGTATTCACCACCACTCGAGTACCAGCACGAGTACTCCTCGAGTAAGACAGGCACCAAGATTTTTCATTTGAACATTTTGTTGAATTGTATCCCCGAGTGAGATGCACACGCCATTTTTAGTGACTCTAAAAGCCAGAATGTTTCGAACATGATGAGGAACACCCAACTTTGAATTTAGACGTGATTCCAACAGAAATCAAACTAATTTTCAATTACAGTACTTGCATTGAAATTATTTTTTCATGAAACTTGGTTCAAATTTTCCCATTACAATTGACTGAATTTAGTATGATGCACACCTACATTTCTAAAATTTGAAAAATGATGTGTATACCCCCTCATGACGTGCACAATATTTTTCTTCCTTGAGAAATGATGCATCAAGTTGCTATATCAGGCAACCCTGGAATCTCAACTCTGTTGAGTGAATGTGCAAATTTAAAATGAGTGAATCCTGCCTCCTGTTCAGGCACATGGGGCTGTTTTTAAAAATTGTCAACTGGACAATCAAGAGGGTACAGAGATGCAGTCCGAAAATAAAAAGGTTGGAGTCAGGGAAATATTTTGGAAATGCCAAACACGGTATCAGTGCTGTCCCAACATTACCCTGTATTACTTTGTAAATTAAAATAAGCTTCTCAGTAATATTAACTGCAGGAAGCTGTCATGCTTGAACATTATCTCATTAATCCAGACTGTTACAGACTACTACATGGAGTCTTGTCTTGTGTTGTACTGTATTTTGAGTTGGGTAGAAACAGTGTATATACGTGTGTGTGTAGGGGGGGGGGGATTGATAAGAATGATTTCAGAGTTTGAAGAGACTTGTATTATTCATTTCGGTCAAGTTGGACGCAGTGGTGGAAGTGGATCAATGAAGTGCAATGCATGATTGATGGGTGATGGGTTGCTCTTCCTCCTTATTGTTCCTCCTCGGGTGTTTTCAGTCCAATTTCAGAATTACAATATGTTATAAAAAAATGTCGAAAGGAAACTCCATGTGCGCTGTTACTGCACAACAAATTTTTCTGCAAACATTTTATGAAATCCAGCCTTGGATTTGGCACTGGCATACATTTTTTTGAATAGCTAATGTCTCAAAAGGCGTGTTTGGCTTTACTTTTGATGAACACATTTTAATTTTATTTTGTCTCTCCCACCCTGTCCCCTTTTTTTTTTTTTCTGAATGACAGGGGCAATTGAGATCCTCCTGTTGTACATCGCACCCGGCATGGCGTTGCTGGGTGACATCACATCGGACGCAGAGCTCAAGTTCCACAATTTCCGCATTTACGGCACAGTGTTGTTGTTCATCATCACAGTCATCATCTTTGGCGGTGTGCGACTGGTGAACAAGTTTGCAGCTGTGGCCCTGGCCTGCGTGCTCCTCTCCATCTTGGCCGTCTACGTCGGCATTTTCTACAACGTTGGCGGCAACGACAGGCTGCAAATGTGCTTCCTGGGCCACCGACTGCTGGTGGAGGACAAGCTCGGCAACTACACCTGTTCCAACCTGCTCAAGATGGAGGGCCCGCTGATTGAGCAGTTTTGCCACGCCGGCATCAATGACAACTGCACCGACTACCTCACGCATCATGACCTCAGGTATGGTAGAGAACAGTGGCCCATAATGGTCGTGTTGAGGACAGAGCCATTTCCTTGCAACGGGTTTATTTTTTTTATTTCATTTCTTGGTCCCAGTAGTTTTTCTTCCATTGATGCCATGTCATTAAAATCTTGTTTCAACAAAACTCATTTTAAGTTGGAATATCAGTTGTATCACAAAAGTTTTGCCTTAATCCTGTGCATAGGCCATACGGACTATAATTGATAATCATCAGGGGAAAAAATTGAACTGTTGCAGCATTCCAACTTTATTTAAGAGGCAACTTTTCCGTAGATAAAATTTAGCATTCAAAAAAAGACGCAACATGACATATTTTTTGGAATTTTTTTTTTTAGCTCCACTCCAGAATGAATGAATGGGCATGGACATGAATGAATAAGTTGGTCCAGAAGGAAGTACAGTACAGTACATTTCTCCAGCATGTAATTTTGTTACATTTTACTTTCCAAGGTAAACACCACTACAAAAATCTGTTGACCCCCCCCCCCCCAAAAAAAAGTGATTGCTCACCTGAATGTATTGTTGGTTTCTTGGATAGAATGTTTGATTTTAAAATGACTGATTAGCATGGCAGTTTATTAAAGGATGAAGAATGATTTGTAAAGGTAACCTTTAAAATCCTTTCACATTTTGTTCCAAATAAACTTTACTCTAGTCATAGTATCACTGAATAAAATCATCAGGCAATGTTTACTTCTGAGTATCGTTTGAGAATGTCAGAAAAAAACAAGCACTGGATGACAAGTGCGGGTAGAAATTTACCACAGACTTTAAAAGCCATCACAAAATGAATGACCTTGCAGCGAAAATGCAGTAGAAGTTACCTTAAAAATCCTTCATCATTTCGCATATCCACTCTTCTAATTAGAGAAAAAAAAATGCTAAATTGCACAATCAATTTACACAGTTCCAGAGCTGGAATCCGAGGCCTCTCCTCCAACGCCTTTATTGAGAATTTGAAAACGTCGTTTACGGAAGATGCTGGGAGGTACATAACAGACACTGATGATCCTGCTGATTATGGGAATCTTGGAGAGGATCCCCTCAACTACATGATCATAGCAGTTTTGCCACGCCGGCATCAATGACAACTGCACCGACTACCTCACGCATCATGACCTCAGGTATGGTAGAGAACAGTGGCCCATAATGGTCGTGTTGAGGACAGAGCCATTTCCTTGCAACGGATTTATTTATTTTTTTTCATTTCTTGGTCCCAGTAGTTTTTCTTCCATTGATGCCATGTCATTAAAATCTTGTTTCATCAAAACTCATTTTAAGTTGGAATATCAGTTGTATCACAAAAGTTTTGCCTTAATCCTGTGCATAGGCCATACGGACTATAATTGATAATCAGCAGGGGAAAAAGTTGAACTGTTGCAGCATTCCAACTTTATTTAAGAGGCAACTTTTCCGTAGATGAAATTTAGCATTCAAAAAAAGACACAACATGACATATTTTTTGGAATTTTTTTTTAGCTCCACTCCAGAATGAATGAATGGGCATGGACATGAATGAATAAGTTGGTCCAGAAGGAAGTACAGTACAGTACATTTCTCCAACATGTAATTTGGTTTCATTTTTACTTTCCAAGGTAAACAGCACTACGAAAATCTGTTGAAACCCCCCAAAAATGTGATTGCTCAACTGAATGTATTGTTGGTTTCTTGGATAGAATGTTTGATTTCAAAATGACTGATTAGCATGGCAGTTTATTAAAGGATGAAGAATGATTTGTAAAGGTCACCTCTAAAATCCTTTCATATTTTTTTCCAAATCAACATTACTCTAGTCAGAGTATCACTGAATAAAGTCATCAGGCAGTGTTTACTTCTGAATATCATTTGAGAATGTCAGAAAAAAACAAGCACTGGTTGACAAGTGCGGGGAGAAATTTACCACAGACTTTAAAAGCCATCACAAAATGAATGACCTTGCAGCGAAAATGCAGTAGAAGTTACCTTAAAAATCCTTCATCATTTCGCATATCCACTCTTCTAATTAGAGAAAAAAAATGCTAAATTGCACAATCAATTTATACAGTTCCAGAGCTGGAATCCGAGGCCTTAGGAGGTTGCGGAAATAACTCTTAAACTTTTGCAGCAAATGCCTTCTACGACCCTCCATGTATTGTCTGTGACTACTAGGACGACTAATACCCTTAGAACCTCTCCTAGGGGAGTTGATGTACTAGTAGGCTGACATGAAAACCAGCTTCATCATCCTAGTGGGAATTTTCTTCCCTTCAGTCACTGGAATCATGGCTGGATCCAACAGGTCAGTGTTTTTTTTTAAAGTATTATTTTTGTTTTTCAATAATAAGCAGTACTGAAATGTACAGTACAGTACTTTGAAATTCCCTGAGCAACGGATTTTGTATTATTTTCTGAAGAAAAGAAGGTTGTTTAACATTTTGTGAAGAGCTTCTGTTCACATTTATGAGGCTTCTTAGTTTTTGTTTTTATTCTTCACGAGCAAATCATTTTCTCAATCAATATACAGTATATCTGCTGAGGGAATTTATCCTCCTGGAAATATTAACCAAAGAAAAATAGGGATTGAATTTCTGAGAATAAATAATGAAACACTTTACTCCATTTGCTTGTTTACTTGGAACAAACAAACAAAAAAGGTCTGGGGACTTGAAAGACGCCCAAAAGTCGATTCCCATTGGGACACTGGCAGCTGTGTGCACCACTTCCACTGTTTACCTGAGTGCGGTGCTCTTCATTGGTGGCTCTATTGACAACATGTTGTTGAGGGACAAGTTTGGGGACAGTATTGGAGGCAAGTTGGTGGTGGCCAACCTGGCCTGGCCCAATGAGTGGGTCATTCTCATTGGGTCCCTGCTTTCCACCATTGGAGCTGGGATGCAAAGTTTGACTGGTGAGTAAGAGAGATTGATTCCGACACAATAGCTTATTGTTGCAGTCATTTTTCGAGAAGTCATATACTGTATACAGAATGGTATTTTTTGATGCAAAATTTTTTGAAAAATAAAAGTGTAATCCTTTTGTAGACCTAATTCTTGGAAGATTCATTGGAGACCAATCCAGTGCAGTTCTGCTTCTGGTCACTCTGTGTATAGGAAACTTCAACGTAATATTATATGCAGAATTTAATTTTTCTTTGAATGAGTATCTGTGAATACCAATTGCAATGTGATTTCCCTCATCTCAGAAAAATAGTTCATATTTTCTTTCTCATGTAGGCAGTACATCTTTGGAATTTGCATGAAGCAAATGTGTGAATCATTGATGTCTTTGTCCCAGGACTTCTTGGTTTTGCCTGTGGTATGAAGTAGGTTTCTGTCTTCAAAGGTGGAGTGGAAGATGGGGAGAGGAAGATTATTGAGGATTGTAGAACATTTTATTTGTCATGTGGAGAAAAAAATCCCTCTGCCAATCTTGACGCTGTTTGCTTCACTTGAAAATATCAAGTGAAGTAAACAAATTTCAGCTTCTGTGAATTTCAGCTTGAAGAAAGAGCATAAGACATATCACATTTCTAAAGTGCAAAAGTGCCATGCTTGGTCATCCAGATATAGTTTTGAAATTTAAATGTGGCCCTCTTCAGAGACAAAAGACAAAATTTTATTCATTAGCAAGTCAGTAAAGCCGTGGAAACCCGCCTTTTGCAAGCATATATTGTATTACTGTAATTATGATGGTTTTTTGTTGTTGTTGTGGTTTTGTGCCAGGTGCCCCGAGATTGTTGCAGGCCATTGCCAAAGATGAGATCATCCCGTTCCTGAGACCCCTGGCAGTGTCTTCAGCCAATGGCGAACCCCGGAGGGCCTTGTTCCTCACCTGGATGATCTGCCAGGTGTCTGTGCTGATTGGCAACCTCGACAACATCACGCCCTTGTTGTCCTGCTTCTTCCTCATGTGCTACGGATTTGTGAACCTTGCCTGTGCCCTGCAGACCCTGCTGAGGACTCCCAACTGGAGACCGAGGTTAGTTTGACAACTCTGGTGTTTTTTTTCTCTCTCTCAAGGCATCACTGAACACAGCTATGCAACATGCAAGGGATTCCAGAAAAGTTTTGGGGTAGAAATTAGAATGGCGGATGATTGAGCTGAAAAACAGTTATTGTTCAGAAAAAACTGTGTTTGGCAAAAATAAATCAGCACTTTTTGAGAAATTTTGCAAAAGTCACCCTATGGCACCTCTCTGTTCTTCAGTCCAAACAGGAGGCGCCCATCTCTGAGATTTTTTGGTCTACCTCAGATTTCTCTTTGAAAATTCTTGAAATCGAATCAGAATTAAATCCGAGGGTTGCTTCCAGTTATTCCAAATTAATCCTACCATTTGCATCAACAGCTGCCAGAATATCATCCCAAGTGGTGCCTGTTGATTGAAAGGGTGGCATGAATAATCAATCAATGGCAGCAACCCTGCTGTTGATTAATTTCTGAACAGTAATTGTTTTTTGGCTCAGTCATTTGCCATCTCAGTTTCTATTCTAAAAACATTTGTTAGACCCCTTGTATCTATCAATGTGAAAAGAGCATCCAAGGTTAATTTTTTGAATGGAGAGGCAGATTTTTGTCACAATTCTCGGAAGTACACTACATTGTTACCCACAGAGAATGAACTTAATTGGTTCCCGTCACAAGAGTTTGATTTTCCCTTTGATTTCAATGGGGAAGAATTTAATCCCTTCCATGAACCCAAAAGACAATTTAACCATTTAACCATTGAATATTGAAAAAAATGAGACCATCAACTATAATCATAATAGATTTCTGCTGCATCTTATGTGAACCCAGCATGTTTTTACAGTGTTATATTGAAGTAGCACTGATGCAAACAAGGATAAAAAAAATCTTCACATGCAGGGAATACAATTTGGAAATCAAATTTTGAATTTTAAAATTTGGTATAGAGTTTTTTTTTTACCAGGGAATTTTTTCCATAAGCCAAGAGTTTGGTAACCAAAAAGTTTTTAAACCAAGGGTCCACTGTTCTATTGTTCTCTGTACATCATCATCATGCAGCCCTGTATAATTTCACGTGTAGATATGCTCACAAAGACAAGCAAATGGATTTCGGACAAAATCAAGACAGACAATTTGATGCAGATACATTTTGAGACAGAGACTATTTGAGACAGAAGCATTTTTAAAATGGCTTTCCTGTGTTTTTCTGTTGAATCTTACATTGAAAATGTGAAAATAATCAAAAATTGCTCTGTTTGGTCGAAATTTTTTTTAAAAGTTTTGACTAGACAGTGCCAAAGAACTCCTCAGCAAGAACTATAGCAAAAGAAAATTCCCCAAGAACCTTGGGAAAATCAGAAAATTGAGTCTTAAGAACAAAGCACTGTGTGCAGAGTTGCTTTGGGACTGTCTCTAAATTGTGCCTGTCTCAGTTTGTCCTCTATCCGCATGGGATAAATAAATGTTGGAATGAGCAAATGTACTGTGAAATGCGGGGAATGAGGGGAGAACACACGGGCGTAACTGGGATTTGTGTACTCATTGCTGGTCTTGATCTTCGTCATCACTGTACTGTATATAGGTTCAAGTACTACCACTGGTCCCTGTCCCTCATCGGCCTCGGGCTCTGCGCCAGCGTCATGTTCATGTGCTCGTGGTACTACGCCCTGTGCTCCATCGGCCTCGCCATCCTCATCTACAAGTACATCGAGTACCGCGGCGCCGAGAAGGAGTGGGGCGACGGGATCCGCGGGATCGCCCTGTCGGCGGCCCGCTACTCGCTCCTGCGCCTCGAAGAAGGCCCGCCGCACACCAAGAACTGGCGTCCCCAGATCCTCGTGTTTGTCAAGCTCGACGACCAGCTCTTCCCCAAGCACACCAAGATCCTGACGTTCGCCTCGCAGCTCAAGGCCGGCAAGGGCCTGACGATGGCCGTGTCCGTCGTCGACGGCGACTTTTCCCGCAAGTACGGCGAGGCCCAAGCAGCCAAGGAGAGTCTGCGCAAGGCCATGACGGACGAGAAGCTCAAGGGCTTCGTGGACGTCCTGGTGGCGCAGAGCGTCATCAACGGCATCAACGGGTGAGAGTGCCCCCTTCATGACTCTTGTCTACTCTACTCCATTTCATTTCATTCATTTGTTTATGAAAAAAAAATTTTGTGAGAATTATTCTACACAGAGAAAGAGAGAGAGAGAGAAAGACCTTTATTTATCCAAGTATTCATTTGTGTGGAGCAATTATTACCATCAAGAAAATACCATACACATACTGCTGCAGTGCAACCCCGCCGTGACATTTTTCAATGATGCACACGAGAAAAGTCCGACTTAAATTTTCAAAGATTTTGTTAGTTTTCTCTAGACTTGTACAATAATAGGACAAAACTGTTAACCACTGCATGTGTATGTGTGTGTATGTGCAGCTATGTATATTTTTTAAATCAATTTATTGTACGACAATTAATCTCTCACGTGTTTTTCAGAAACTTGAGATGTATGAGAGAAATACAATAGAAAGAAAATCATGTCGACGACTTGAAAGCCAAATAAAAACACACATACACAAAGTAGTGATTCTACTCAATTCTGTCGTACTTCGCACTGTAATAAATTTCAAATTCTGAATCAAACTTTCAAAAGGTAAACGCGATACTGGAAAAAATGGCATAAAGAACGCAGGTGTCTTTATGTAAGCTAAATTGATGCGTTGGAGTCTTTTGATGCCGTTCTGTCGCTTCTTTTTTTTTTGTTGTTGCGTGCATTTGTTTCATTCACTTTCACGCTGAAATAAAGAAACGAAAATAAATTCTTGGACACGTGCCGTTTATTTTTTGGCACGTCCGGACACGTTTCTTTGAGGTCAGGTTTGACAAACGCGATTCACGCGCTAGTTGGCCCATGACAACCGGTAAATGCTTTGAAGAATTTTCATAGTTTGTATATTGTCATGTAAAGTACAGTACGTGTTTACGAGCTTTTTACCAAAACAATTTCGAGTTGGTTGGATGCCAAGATGTTTGCATTATTGAACTTTCGAAGAAAAAAGAAACCTTTTCTTGAAGCATCACACTTTTGAAACAAAATAATATCTTGGAAGAATTTTTATGTTTGTTGGAAAATTAAAGAATCTGTTACAAATTTTATTTCGACAAAAAAAGAGCTGCCTGGATTTTTCCACTTCTTTCATTCTCAGAATTGCTCCTCTTTGCTCAATATATTTTCACTCGAGTTTCGCTGTAAAAAATGGAAGGTTTTCATCATTTATATTTTTTTGTATTGGCAATTAAAACAGTTATTCTAGAGGAAATTGGAATTGGGAAGTATGCGAACAGACTTTCTGAGGCACCTTTTAGATTTCCCAGGAATGATTTTCAATTTGAAGAAGCTGGAACAATTTAGAGATGCTTCTCAGGGATTGGTACAATTTAATTTAAATAAGCTTGAATATTTTGTTATACAGTACTTACTGTACTTTGAATCCAATCGAGAGTATCATCATCATCATCACTTCCTTTTATTATCAAAGAACCATCGCGTTCGAGGTCGAAACACTAAAAGAAGGATCCTTTCGGATAGATGATGAGAAAGTCATTAAAGACGCTATTCGTCATGTACAATGACCCAAAAAGACATAATGTACTGCCTTGCTTTGATGTCGAGTCCCATTCGAGGGATCTTTTGCCTTGATTACATGTCGAAGTCCCGAAGTACAGTTCTGCAAACGAATAAAATGGGGGAAAAATTCCTGTACTGGTTTTCTGTATGAGACAAACATAATGACTGTTTTGTGTGCTCAACTATATTTTTGTCTCCATTTCTTGAACTACAATTAATCCGTCACTACCCCTAATCTCACTTGATTTATTTTTCTCAACGTATGAATGAAATAATAAATATGTTCGAAACAGAGACTCTGTGATTGTGAAAATATTGAAAGATTCAAGTTGTAAGTTGGTTGATGTCACTGGGATTTAATATTGACTTCGGGATTACACACAATAAAATGCCGTACTTTTAATATTTTTTTTAAATCTGGGCGACTCTCATTGTGATTCATTCACCTGGGAAATATATGAAAAGAAAAACGGATAGACGTGAATCATGCTTCTGATACTGCCATGATATTTTCCTATTTGGCACATCTTTGATTTTTCTATGACGATCACGACGAGTATTAAAACACGAATCATTGTAAATGTTTTTGTCAAATATCCTGGCAGGAAATTTCCAGGTCATTTAGACTTGAAACTTTCTCATAAAATTGTCGAGGGCAATTTTCCTATGTTTCTTTGCCTGCTGCAAAATTGCAAACAATTTTGAATACTCTATAAGTCTATAGCTATCTTGTTAAGCTTTGCATTCTTGGGCAATTCCTGAAATCCTGTTTCCCTATGTTCCAACCCTAGTGACGAGTATTATCAAATTATAATCTTGGAATCATTTCCAAAATCCAAAAAAAATATGATTCAAAGGCTTCATTTCAAAATATACTCGTCCATAATTTATATAAACTTCCCACTGGCTGAGAAAAGAATCAGAATCTCCTAGACTACTGCTGTGTGTATTCTCAGGGAAACTTTCTCGCGTATTTTCAGAAGTCTCCTTTTAAATAATGCTACTTGTTATTCAAGTGTTTTTTTGAAAACTACGCGTATCAAAATACTTTCATATTACGGTATATTTTATCCGATTGAAAATTGAGGTTATCTTTCTGTCTGCACTTGGATAAAATTGTTGTTCCACTTGAAGCCAAGCGAGTAAAACGAACATCTTGCGATTTAACGACAATATACTGCAGAAACTAGAAATGTAGTTTGGTGCAAGTAGGTGGTCTTCAGCGTGGAGTAGTGTGCATGTATATCGCATTGATTCATTGATTGATTTTGATTTTGTGTGTTTGTGTGTGTGTGCTTCGTAGATTGATCCAGACGTCGGGGATCGGCGGCCTGAAGCCCAACACCGTCATCGTGGGCTGGCCCCACTCGTGGCGCAAGTCGACGGACGAGCGGTCGTGGAAGACCTTCATCTCGACCGTGCGTTGCGTGGCGGCGGCCAAGATGGCCCTGCTCGTGCCCAAGGGCATCGCCTTCTACCCGGACTCGACCGAGAAGATCTCGGGCAACATCGACATCTGGTGGATCGTCCACGACGGCG